CGCCTCCAGCTTCTTGATCTTGTGTGAGGTGTTCTCCTTGGCCTTGATGTACTGCGGCCGCTTCTGGTTCAGCTCCGAGTCCTTCTCCCTGCGGGGCACCACGGGAGGGGGTTTGGGGATTGGTTTTAGGGTTTGTGGATGGTTTTGGGGTTTGGTTTTGGGGTTTGTGGATGGTTTTGGGTTTTGGTTTGGAGTTTGTGTCCGGTTTTGGGGTTTGTGTCTGGTTTTGGGGTTTGGTTTTGGGGTTTGTGGATGGTTTTGGTGTTTGGTTTGGGGTTTGTGTCCGGTTTTGGGGTTTGGTTTAGGGTTTGTGGATGGTTTTGGTGTTTGGTTTGGGGTTTGTGTCCAGTTTTGGGGTTTGGTTTTGGGGTTTGTGCCAGATTTTGGGGTTTGGTTTGAGGTTTGTGCCTGGTTTTGGGGCTTGGTTTTGAGGTTTGTGCCTGGTTTTGGGGTTTGGTTTGGGGTTTGTGCGTGGTTTTGGGGTTTGGTTTTGGGGTTTCTGGATGGTTTTGGGGTTTGGTTTGGGGGTTTGTGCCAGGTTTGGGGGTTTGGTTTGAGGTGCATGCGTGGTTTTGGGGTTTCTGCACAGTTTTTGGGTTTGTGCTTGGTTTTGGGGTTTGGTTTGAGGTTCGTGCCTGGTTTTGGGGCTTGGTTTTGGGGTTTGTGGATGGTTTTGGGGCTTGGTTTGGGGTTTGTGGATGGTTTTTGGGGTGTGGTTTGGGGTTTGTGCCTGGTTTTGGGGTTTGCGGATGGTTTTGGGGTTTGTGTCCGGTTTTGAGGTTTGGTTTGGGGTTTGTGTCCGGTTTTGGGGTGTGGTTTGGGGTTTGTGCCTGGTTTTGAGGTTTGTGCCTGGTTTTGGGATTTGTGTCTGGTTTTGGGGTTTGGTTTTGGGGTGTGTAGATGGTTTTGGGGTTTGTACCTGATTTTGGTGTTTGTGCTCGGTTTTGGGGTTGGTTTTGGGTTTGGTACCTGGTTTTGGGGTTTGGTTTGGGGTTCGTGACTGGTTTTGGGGTTTGTGCCTGGTTTTGGGGTTTGGTTTTGGGGTTTGTGGATGGTTTTGGGGTTTGGTTTTGGGGTTTCTGGATGGTTTTGGAGTTTGTGCCTGATTTTCGGGTTTGGTTTGAGGTTTGGTGTCTGGTTTTGGGGTTTCTACCTGATTTTGGTGTTTGTGCTCGGTTTTGGGGTTGGTTTTGGGTTTGGTGCCTGGTTTTGGGGTTTGTATCTGGTTTTGGGGTTTGTGCCTGGTTTTGGGGTTTGGGTTTGGTTTTGGGGTTTGTGCTTGGTTTTGGTACCTACTTTTGGGGTTTCTGCTTGGTTTAGTGCTTGGTTTTGGGGTTTGGTACCTGGTTTCCACCCCAAAATCCAGCATCCCCACCCCAAATCCAGCATCCCCACCCCAAATCCAGCATCCCCACCCCAAATCCAGCATCCCCACCCCAAATCCAGCATTCCCACCCAAAATCCAGCATCCCCACCCCAAATCCAGCATCCCCACCCC